TGGCACGACACACTGAGGACTACACTTGCGGCTCTTGGGTTTGCTCCCTCTACTGCCGACCCGTCGCTGTTTCTGCGCACCGACACTTCTTTGCCGCCGTTCTACATCCTCGTGTACGTCGACGACTTGGTCTTTGCCACAGCTGACACTGCTGGACTCGCCCACGTGAAGTCCGAGCTGCAGAAGAGACACACGTGCACAGACCTGGGTGAACTGCGCAGCTACCTTGGCTTGCAGATCACCCGGGACAGAGCACGCCGCACCATTACCTTGACTCAGTCACACATGGTGCAGCAGGTCCTTCAGCGCTTCGGCTTCACGTACTCCTCGCCTCAGGCCACTCCTCTGCCTACTCGCCACTCGCTCTCAGCTCTGCCTTCGGATGAGTCCGTAGAGTCGAGTGGCCTGTACCCAGAGCTTGTTGGCTGCCTCATGTACCTGATGACCTGCACACGACCTGACCTTGCATACCCTCTTAGCATTCTCGCACGCTATGTTGCTCCTGGGAGACACAGACCGGAGCACATGGCTGCAGCGAAGAGGGTGTTGCGCTACTTGTGCAGTACGTCGGGCATGGGGCTTGTGCTTGGAGGGCAGAGTCCAGTGGTCCTCACTGGGCACGCAGACGCTTCTTGGGCTGACGACCAGGCTACGCAGCGGTCGTCACAGGGTTACACCTTCAGCCTTGGTTCCGGCTCTGTTTCGTGGGGGGCTACCCGCTCGTCTTCTGTTCTCGGCTCCAGTTGTGAGGCTGAGATCTACGCCGGGGCCATGGCTGCACAGGAGCTTCGCTGGCTCACCTACCTCCTGACTGACCTCGGAGAGCCGCCTCGTTCTCCTCCAGTGCTGTACGTAGACAACAAGGCCATGCTGGCCTTGTGTCGAGAGCAGAGACTGGAGCACAGAACGAAGCACATTGCTCTCCGCTACTTCCTTGCTCGTGAGCTACAGCAGCGTGGTCAGCTGCGGCTTGCGTACGTGGCCTCTGAGGCCAACACTGCTGATATCTTCACCAAGGCACTTGCGCCTTGTGATCATCAGCGCTTCTGTACTCAGCTGGGTCTTGTGCCTACCTTGCCTCACTTGCTCACCCCTTGACCTTGTTTGTACTGTTGCATATATATATACACCTGCTCTTGCTTGTCTAGCCTTATATATATATGTAATCCTGCATGTGAACTGGCCTTGTGGCCTTGAACTTGTGCTCGGAATGTGTGGTGACTTTGTGATCCACCCTGAGCTTGCTTTGCTTTGCTTGACTGGTCTTGTGACCCCTTGTTCTCCCCCACTTTGCCTATGGGGGTGTGTCAGATTTATATGACATAGCTACTGTAGGCTATAGTGGGGTAGCACATATAGGGTACAGTTGTCTAGGGTTTGCATTTGTACCCAACTTTCCCTTAGTCAATTGATCCTAGTTCAGTTTCTCACAAGTGGCCCATGTTCAAATACACCTATTAGAGCCTTTTCGGCCTGGTTCTTGCGCCAAGAAAAGTTCGGCGCCCATGATTTCGGCTGTTTTTGCCGACAAATGCTAGGAAAGCGCATGGATCCCTAGAGGCGTAGGGAAAAGCATTCAACAACCTGATTTTCATTGCATATTCGAGTGGCACATGTTCAAATGCACCTATGGGAGACTTTTCAGCCTGGTCCTTACGCCAAGAAAAGTTCGGCGCCCATGCTTTCGGCCGTTTTTGCCGACAAATGCTCAGAGAGCGCACGGATCCCTACAGGTGTAGGGAAAAGCATTCAACAACCCAATTTTCATTACATATTCGGGTGGCCCATGTTCAAATACACCTATTGGAGCCTTTTTGGCCTTGTTCTTGCGCTAAGAAAAGTTCGGCGCCCATGATTTCGGCCGTTTTTGCCGACAAATGCTCAGAGAGTGCACGGATCTCTACAGGCGTAGGGAAAATCATTTAACAACCTGATTGTCATTGCAATTCGAGTGACCCATGTTCACATACACCTATTGGAGACTTTTCCGCCTACTTCTTGCGCCAAGAAAAGTTCGGCACCCATGATTTCGGCCGTTTTTGCCGACAAATGCTCAGAGAGCCAACGGATCTCTACAGGCGTAGAGAAAAGCATTCAACAACCTTTTTGCCTCTGCAATTCAAGTGGCTCATGTTCAAATACACCTATTGGAGCCTTTTCGGCCTTGTTTTTGCGCCGAGAAAAGTTCGGCGCCCATGATTTCGGCTGTTTTTGCCGACAAATGCTCAGAAAGCGCATGGATCCCTAGAGGCGTAGGGAAAAGCATTCAACAACCTGATTTTCATTGCATATTCGAGTGGCACATGTTCAAATGCACCTATGGGAGCCTTTTCAGCCTGGTCCTTACGCCAAGAAAAGTTCGGCGCCCATGCTTTCGGCCGTTTTTGCCGACAAATGCTCAGAGAGCGCACGGATCCCTACAGGTGTAGGGAAAAGCATTCAACAACCTGATTGTCATTGCAATTCGAGTGACCCATGTTCACATACACCTATTGGAGCCTTTTCGGCCTAGTTCTTGCGCCAAGAAAAGTTCGACGCCCATGATTTCGGCCGTTTTTGCCGACAAATGCTCAGAGAGCCAACGGATCTCTACAGGCATAGGGAAAAGCATTCAACAACCTGATTGCCATTGCATTTCGAGTGGCCCATGTTCAAATACACCTATTGCAGCCTAGTTCTTGCGCCAAGAAATGTTCGGCGCCCATGATTTCGGCCGTTTTTGCCGACAAATGCTCAGAAAGCGCACGGATCCCTAGAGGCGTAGGGAAAAGCATTCAACAACCTGATTTTCATTGCACATTTGAGTGGCCCATGTTCAAATACACCTATTAGAGCCTTTTCGGCCTGGTTCTTGTGCCAAGAAAAGTTCGGCGCCCATGATTTCGGCCGTTTTTGCCGACAAATGCTCAGAGAGCGCACGGATCCCTACAGGCATAGGGAAAATCATTCAACAACCTGATTTTCATTGCTATTCGAGTGGCCCATTTTCAAATACACCTACTGGAGCCTTTTTGGCCTGGTTCTCGCGCCAAGAAAAGTTCAGCTCCCATGATTTCGGTCGTTTTTTCCGACAAATGATCAGGGAGCGCATGGATCCCTACAGGTGTAGGGAAAGGCATTCAACAACCTTATTTTCATTGCTATTCGAGTGGCCCATGTTCAAGTACACCTATTGGAGTCTTTTCGGCGGGGTTCTTGTGCCAAGAAAAGTTCGGCGCCCATGATTTCGGCCGTTTTTTCCGACAAGAGAGCGCACGGATCTCTAGAGGCGTAGGGAAAAGCATTCAACAACCTGATTGTCAAGGCATATTCGAGTGGCCCATGTTCACATACACCTATTGGAGCCTTTTCGGCTTGGTTCTTGTGCCAAGAAAAGCTCGGCGCCCATGATTTCGACCGTTTTTTCCGACAAATGCTCAAAGAGCGCATGGATCCCTATAGGCGTAGGGAAAAGCATTCAACAACCTGATTATCATTGCATATTCGAGTGGCCCATGTTCACATACACCTTCTGGAGCCGTTTCGGCCAGGTTCTTGCGTCAAGAAAACTTCGGCGCCCATGATTTCAGCCGTTTTTGCCGACTCGTTTCCGAGCATTTTTCTTCCGTTGGGTCACGTGGCTGCGCTTGTCCGGGCCTATTCCAGCACACGCACCTGTGGCAGCATCGGTGCTAAGCACACGCACATGTGCAGCACAACTGTTAAGCACACGCACCTCTGGCAGCACTGATATTCAACACCTATGGCAGCACCGATATTCAACACCTGTGGCAGCACCTATGGCAGCAGTGCTATTCCGCACACGCACCTGTGGCAGCACCGGTGTTTTGCAACGCACTTGAGTTGAAAGCTTGGATTGAAGCTCGTTTGAAACCCTCGCTCGAGAACCCAGCTCGGTCGCAACCAGGGTTCCGCCCGCTGCAGGAGCAGGGCATCTCTTTGCCTCTGTTGCGGGATCCTTTCTAGAAAAGGCACGCTTTGGCCGGCGCCTGACAAGCCCTCGATTGTATGTCGTTTTCATTGGGCACTCTGGTGGCGATAAGCCAGGTCATTGCGCGAATTCATCTGTTCTTCACAAGAGTGGAACCACATCACAAAGAGCTACTACCGTAATCCCCCGGATAAAAGACCCCCCCTCAATAATATACCCGGGTCTTTATTACGGGGAAGGGTCTATTATGGGTTGTTTTAGTTATACCCCCCTTTTGGGGTGAAATCATTATAAGACCCCCCTTTTTATTTTTATTTTTTACATTCTTCGGGAAAAAAAAAGGTGTAGCAATACCGAGGCGGCCTGAGACGGTGCGGTGGACGTGGTACATTTCGATCGACCCCCCCTCGAGCGATACGCCCCAAAGAATGTGGCCAATCAGAATGCCAAATTCAGATTCTAGTCTGATAATGCCTGCCTCCTGCTGAAACCGATTCGCCTGGGTATTGAGCATTTTTTTAACGGAGCAATCACTTCCTACATGAATGAAATTCATTACATCTGTCTAAACACATACAATATCTTGAGACCCGGGTCTTATAATTTTTGTACCATTTATATAGACCCCCCTCGTTTTTTTTTTTAAATCAATAGAAGACCCTAGGGTCTTTTATCCGGGGGATTACGGTAACCAGGATTGAAATTGACATTTTGCGGTCAGTGCACACCCCCCCTTCCCTCTCTTATCCCCTAAAACAAATGTGATTTATTACCCATAATCGCTCCTGCGCCTAAATCCAGGGGAACATTGTAACACTAATTTCAATTGGTAACCAGATTTTCTATGGGCAAATGATTATGTTATCAGTGAGTATTTGTGTAGTCCACTCAACAGACTTACAGGATACACAAAATCCTAACACCACGACTGCATAACAACAACCCAGTAACATGTCAGCCTTTTGGGGACTAGCCTTTTGAGTATATCAAGGCACAATTGGCTAGTAAAGAGATGTTCCGGAATCCTAGCAAGCACTCTTCCGGCAGCGACCAAAAGGCTTCGGCAGTTTTACTTGTGGTAGAGGAAGACAAAGCCAATGACAAAGAACGCTATCATCTGGTGGTTGAAAGAATATAAATTGGCACAAGAGGGAGGGACGGAAGAGCACGGTTAGCGAGAGCATATGGGGTAGAGATGAACAGAGTGGTGGTGGGGTAAAAGTGGAGGATGATCAAGGGAGGAATGACAAGCATGGTAAAGGAAAATGGAGCATTGCTACACTGCAGCATCCATGGGAGGGAGGGAAAAGTGTGCAAAAAGGACAGGTGGGGAGTTGAAGGTTGTCGGATATTAGATGGAGAGATGAGCCATATGATGGAGAGATGAGCCATATGATGGAGAGATGAGTCATATGATGGAGAGATGAGTCATATGATGGAGAGATGAGTCATATGATGGAGAGATGAGTCATATGATGGAGGGATGAGTCATATGATGGAGAGATGAGTCATATGATGGAGAGATGAGTCATATGATGGAGAGATGAGTCATATGATGGAGGGATGAGTCATATGATGGAGAGATGAGTCATATGATGGAGAGATGAGTCATATGATGGAGGGATGAGTCATATGATGGAGAGATGAGTCATATGATGGAGAGATGAGTCATATGATGGAGGGATGAGTCATATGATGGAGAGATGAGTCATATGATGGAGATAGGAGACCATTCGGTAGACAAGGAAAGGCACACCATGAAGGTTGAGGCACAACGTGGATAAAGGGAGGCATAACGTGGATAAAGAGAGGCATAACGTGGATAAAGAGAGGCATAACTTTTTAAAGAGAGGCATATTGTGGATAAAGGGAGGCAGCATAGCATGGAGAAGGTGGAGGCATAGTAGGGGAAGGCGGCCGGGATGAAGAGAGGCATCGAATGGATAGATAGCGGCAGCACATCATGGAGAAAAAGAGCACACCATGGACAGGGAGAGGCAGCATACCATGGAGAAGGTGGGGCATAGTAGGGGAAGGCTGCCAGCATACCAAGGTACGGCATACATAGAGCATTAGCATGGACATGAGAAGGGGGGCAGAAGAGAGGCAGCATACCATGGAGAAGGTGGAGGCGTAGTAGGGGAAGGCGGCCGGGATGAAGCGCTCAAACTCGTCGTGGCGGAAGGGGCGCACTGGGATCTGTGGGAGAGGGTAGTGGGGCGGAGTGAGGTGCGGTAGGTGAGGAGGAGTTAGAAGCAGCGATGACTGGGTTTGAGGGAAATGGATGGGGTTGGGCGACTAGGAGCAGCGACTAACTGCGAGGTGAATTGATTCCGGTATGTGAGGGCGAGGGATGAGAAAGAAATTGCGAGGAGGAAAGAGAGGAAAAACCAGGGGAAGCAGGAAAGGCTTGTGGCCTGGCATGAGAGTGTGGCTGGCACCAGGAACACGAGGAAGGTTGCTGCGCCGCTCCTGATTTGCAAGCAAGGCCGTGGAGTGGCAAGGCAACAACCAGCCAGCTGCTTGTATGTTCGCAAAAAAACCATCAAAGCGGGGCTGCTGGAAGCACTGACCTGCTTGGCGAGCGAGATGGTGGAGTAGCCAAGGCGCTTGTGCTCCACCTTGAACTGAAACACCCCGTACACGTCCGGCACCTGGAAGGATGTGAAGAAGCGACCCTGAGGAGGAGGTGACGGGAGAGCGGGGTACAGGAGAGGGAGGAGGAGAGGAGACAAGGTTGAGCTGGCAGACTCAGTCGGCGTGAGGCGCTGGGATGGGGAAGTAGTGTGCGGCGAGGGGAGGGTGGGATGATGGGACGGGCAATGGTTTGCCGCTTGTGGAGGAGGAGAAAGGAGGGTGGGAGCAGAGCAGGAGAGCGAACAGTGTGTCTGAGCATGTGGTTGCAGATCGTAGATTGTCGATTGCCCTCGTAGGTGTGTGTCAACGTGTTCGGCACATCGGAGCGAGCGAGTATGGATGTCGAACATGCATCTCACATTGTCATCGTGAGAGAGTGTCTCTTGAGCACGTAGGGGCTCATCATGTAGAACTGCACTTGCACGAGCGAGTATAATTGTTCAGGCATGCTACACCTCCATCCCCCCCCCAAACCGCCCCCAACAGGACATGCATGTGCGTCTCACCTTGTCATCGTGCGAGAGCGTCTTGAGCACGTAGGGGCTCATCATGTAGAACTGAACTTGCACGTCGTCGCCCTTGAATGGCACCCACTCGCTGCCCGCCCACTCATAGATGTCCACCGCGAACTCCTGCCAGCGGGAGCATGGGAGCAACGCAGAGGAGGAGTGGAGAAAGGACGGGGAAAGGATGAGGGAGAAGAACTGGCCGCACCCACTCACTGCCCGCCCACCCATATATGTTTACCGCGAACTCCTGCCAGTGGGAGCATGGGAGCGATGTGGAACGGAGCAGTGAAGGGACGGGGAAACGGATGATGGGGGCAACAGAAGGGAGTGTCGCCTCCACTCACTGGCCGCTTCTCAATTCTCCTGCAGACTCCTGGCAGGGAGCAGAGGAGCCAGCAAGAAGTCACCATGAGTGCCCCCGTGCAAAATGGCGTTGAGGGGAGGAAAGGGGAAGAGGGGGAAAGGGGCGGGATGCAAGCAAGACAAAACAGCCACTGCCTGCAAGAATCCTGACGGGCATCGAGAAAGCAGGCAGGCGGGCAGGCAGGCGGGCAGGCACACAGCGCACTGATGCAGTGCAAGCGGGCACATGCAGGCACATGCAGGCACATGGCGGGTGCATACCAGGTGGTCAGAGACACGGTAGACTGCCGGCTCCGTGCTCTCACCAGCCTTGTTGTGCCGCAGGTTCACAGCCTGAGAGGTGAAGGGCGAGTGGATGGAATGGAAGAGAGTGGTGAGCAGTGGTTCGGAAAGATGTAACGGGGAGCTGAGCAGTGGTGCAGACAGATGGGATGGTGAGGGGAGTGTGGGATGGTGGGATGGTGAGGGGAGTGTGGGATGGTGGGATGGTGAGGGGAGTGTGGGATGGTGGGATGGTGAGGGGAGTGTGGGATGGTGGGATGGTGAGGGGAGTGTGGGATGGTGGGATGGTGAGGGGAATGTGGGATGGTGGGATGGTGAGCAACTATACAGGCTCCATCTTCTCACCTTGAGGTGCCCCCTTTCGTGGAAGGTCCACTTGGAGAGCTCCGTGACGAACTGCTCATTGCCGGCCGGCGACAGCCACTGGGAGGTCTTGGCGTTTCGTGAGGCGGGGTCGGCAGAGGTGGCAGACACGTCCACCACTGCGCGGAAGAAACTGAGAGGGGAAACAAGGAGGGGCGGAGAAAGGGGAGGGGAGAATGAGAGGAGGCGCAAGGGAAGGGGAGAGGAGAGACGAGGCAGAAGAGGAAGGAAGGGTTGGGGTGGGGTGGGCGGAGGTGGCAGAGCAGTCTACTACTGCACGGAAGAAACTGAAGAAGAAAAAAAACTAGGGGCAAGAGAAGGGGAGGGGAGGAGGAGAGAGGGGGTTGGAAGCATAAGTGCGAAGCGAATAGTCGACACATGCTCTTGGACCTGCTCTTGAAACCTGGCCCGCCCTCCTCCCCCTTCCCTCCCTCCCCTTCCCCCCTCCCCCCCGATCCCCCCCCCCCCAATTCTCCTGACAAGACGTGCCCTTCACATCTCCAATTATCCGTCTCACTCCCCCCTCCCTCGTCCCCCTCTCACCCCCAATCTAGCACCCACGCACCTGTCAGTGAAGAGCGCGAGGGAGCCGGAGATGAGGACGCGCGCGTTGTTGCGCGCCTGCATGGCCGCCACCAGCGAGACCGCCTTGCCCTGCAGCGCGGGGGGCTCCTTGAGAGCCGCTGCTGGGTCCGCCGCGTAGGCCGTGGGGGAGCCTGAGAGCACCGGCACCACCTGATGGCGCATGGAGGGAAGGGGAAGGGACAGGGAGGGGGGACGAGGGGGGACGAAGGGACAAGGAGAGGGGAAGGAGGGGGCGGAAGAGGGGGCGGGGGAGAGGGGGGTGGGGGGGTGGGGAGAAAGGGGGGGGTTTCCCCGTAAGAATTTCTCAAGAGATGAGGTGGAAGGACTGAGCGCAAGGACTGCGAGCACCAGCAGCAGCTGGTGGCGTGATGGAGGAGGGTGAGGAGCTAGCGGAGAGGGGTAAGCAGCACAGAAGCAATGGAGCGTGCTGTGCGTCTCAGAGGTGTGATCGACAAGAGGCATGAACGAGTACCATGCAAGGGGCACGGGGGGGGGGGGGGGGGCAGGGCGTGGGATAGCTGAAAGGATGTGTGGAGCGACGGAGGGCATACCAGCTCGGACGTGGGCGAGACTGTCATGGCAATCCCCTGGAAGAGAACGGGGCCCTGTGGTGCAACCATACGGAGGGTGGGGATGCAGAGGAAGAAAGAACGGTGCAGAGTGAAGGTGGAGGAGAGAAACAAGGAGAGGAACGACAAGTAGAGCAAAACCAAATCCCGTTTGCATGCAAAAGAGACGGAGATGCCACCACAAGAATTTGGAACGAACAAGCAGCCGGATACAAGCCACCTTTACACGGTTCCACTGGGATGGTAAGGGTATTCTAGCAAAGCATACCGTGATGGGAGCGGCGCCGAGGATGACGGAGGAGTTGATGAGGTTGCTGCCCAGCACGAGCGTGTGGTCGTCCCTGCGCCCGCTCACCCGCGCGTACTGCTGGTGGTCGATCACCACTCCCTTGGGGTTCTGCAATCGCATCAGTCAATATCGCGGATGGAATTGGAAAAGTGAGTCACATCAACATATACCACGTCCCGTCGCCAACTGCACAGCACTCGCGCGACATTTCGCGGATGGCGTGAGTGATGGCCGCGCGGCGCGTCAGCACATACCTCATCGAGGTCCACGCCGCATTCGAGTGCAAAATCGCGGGATGGTGTCGGACAGAGATGTGAGAGGCGCGAGCGGCGGCAACACGTACCTCGTCGAGGTCCACGCCGCATTCGAGCGCGATATCGCGGATGGTGTCGGACGCGCCGCTGTCCGCCGCGAGGATGAGGTCGTGGCCCGAGTCCACGAAGTCAAGGATCGCCGCCACGTCCACCACGCCGCCGAACGCTAAGAGATGGGGAGCACGGGGTAGGTGGGGGGGGGGGGGTGAGGGAATGAAGGACGAAAAGGCGAGGATGAGGTCGTGGCCCGAGTTCACGAAGTCAAGGATCGCTGGCACGTCCACCACGCCGCTGAATGCTGGGAAATGAGGGGGGCGGGGAACGTGGGAGCACGGGGAAGGTGGGGGGAGGAAGCAGCGTGTGCGGCAACGTGTGCGCCATGCGGTAGAGGATGATAGCGACGTGGTAGAGGTACTAGTGAGTCGCATTGGAGCGGGATTTCATCATTCACACGCGAGATCGCAAGATGTACAGGAGACGTGAGGGCGATAGCGGGGTCGAAGGGGTACTCGTTCACCCTTACTACACAAATTCATCATTCACAAGTGAGGACGCAAGACGTACACGAGAATTCGGGGTGGAGAATTATGGCGGCGTCGTAGAGGTGCCAGCTCAGCTTATAGCGTGATTTTAAGAATGGACGTGCAAGCGCAAGACGTACCATGAGACTTTGAGGCCGAAGATGATAACGGCATCGTAGAGGCACTAATGAGTCGCCTTATAACGCGGCATTAGAGAAAACACAGATAGAAAGTAACACGTACAAGAGACTTTGGGCGCGAGGATGATGGCGGCGTCGTAGAGGTACTCGCCGTACTTCTGCAGCACGAGACTCGAATCCCTCGCCGCGCGCAAATCCAATTCGTACCCGCGATCTGCGGAACGGAAGACCAGGACGTAGAGAGGGGAGAGGCGGGGAAAAAGGAAGAACGGCGAGAATCAAAGGAGGAGGTTCCAAATGAGACGCTGGCCGCGAGTGATGGGGACGTCAGCGGAAAGCTACAAGCTGAGGACACGAGATGGGATCATTGTGAATGCTGAATGCACGACGATGAGTCAGACATGGCGCATTAGTGGATATGTGACTGGCCGAGGAGGATCGTATCGCAATGCGCGGCCAGATCTTGAAAGATGCCGAGCAGATTATGTGAACTATGAGTGTTGCTAATTCGGTCACATTTGCCAGTGTCGCCTGTTCAGTAAGCTATGTCAGTGTCGCAGATATAGGTATTGCGGAGTCGCCAATCAAGTAGCTATGTCAGTGACTAGAACACATCAAACTTTTTTGAAGTCAGTGACTAGAACACATCAAACTAAATCTATGTCAGTGTCGGCGACTCAGGAAGTAGTGTCAGCGTCGCCAATTTGTTGGTCAGCTATGTTCAGCCTCGCATGCTACGCGACTGTCGCCGTACGCTTGCCCTGTGAACAAGGTGGGAACTTTACGACTCTCGATCTGCAAAATATCCTGCTGTAATGCGGAAACCCAAGATCTAGCGCAATCCGTACTGTTAGGTGACTGCGAACGTCTCAATTCCAACAGGAAAATTCTCATTGACTGGAAGCTCTTCAATGAAACGGTCCTCTGGAGCATCTGTGAATCTCCTGCAAATCGCGAACGACCTCCATGATTCGTGGCTACCTGCGACGTTCTTAATTACCTGCGAGGTTCTTAAAGAAGATGGAGTAGGAGTCCTTATTCTTGAGGTCGTCCAGCAGCACGAGGATGCGTTGATCCGTCGGTCGCTCCTCCGAGAATGCGACGCATCCCACCACCGAGATCGCGATCAAAGCCAGCAGGCCAAGCACGCGCGGCGCCATCGCTACCGCAACCGCGTTACGAAGCGATCAAGAGGTTAAACATGCGCAGCACGCGTCGGACGAGAGTGTACCAGAGGTAAGGTGCGGACGACCTAGATCCTAATCTCCGACCTACAAAGCCAGCGATTCCCACCAATGTGAATCCTGAATGGAGAAATGGTGCGCTGGTGGTGGTGAGATCCCAAGGTTGGCCCACACAGAGAAGTCCCCGTCACAGCTAGGGTGACAATGATTAGGATACAATCGGATAATACACCAACACCAGCACTCATTGTCAATACAAGGTGACATCATGTAAACTGATTACTATATGACTTTCATCTTGTCCACAGAGCACCAGTGCAGTGTGACAGGCTATGGGCTTAAACATAATTTTTTATGGAAACAGGTATTCGTGTGTTCCAGAAAACCTGGATAGAGGCCGGCGCATGCGAGGCTCATTCAAAAAAAGCTCGTCATGCACCATCATGAGTCAGCAACCTAGTCTGGAATATTTGAAACATCATCTCTTTCGACAGTCCATCTTTCCTCACATGGTGGTACGAGAACACACAGCAGTCAATCGACGGCGGATTACGTGCTTCCCTTTCCACCCGTGCATCTTCATTCTCATGCACCGCATCCCGTTCAATCCCTGCATGCGCTTGCTGTCCAAAGTCAAATTCTGTATCCTGCCCGTGGTCTCTGGGCACACCCAACAGCATAGCCATGCTTGCAGCTGCTCTCGCAGACACCCCTGCATCCTTGCGCAACTCCTCCGCTGTTGCTGAAAAGAACACCTCCTGATTGGGGTGGGAAAGGAAGAAAGGCACAGCAGACAAGAGGGAAACCAAGTCAAGGCAGGCAGATTGAGAGAAGTCCTTGACAAAGAAACTATTTGGTCACTGGAAGGCAGTCTTCCAAAAAGGCCATGAGGAGCGAATGGGAAGCAGGGTGAAAATAAAGGGGAGGATCAGCAATGAAGATGCATGAAGAAAATGATTGGGTTGGGAGGTGCTGCTGAGCGAACCTTTAGCCATGCATCAAGATAAGGGTGATAATTGAAAATAACCCTCTGTATGTGCAGCATGAACAAGGAGCAAGATGAAGACTTGTACGTCAAGATTGGAACCATGGCAAACCGGACGATCCTTACGGCATTAGGTGAGGCAAGGCGGACGAGCAACCGCCCCGTAGCATCCTCGAGCACCAAGACAAGCCCTGCCGCCCACTTCCTCTTCACCCCAGAACCTGCTTTTCCTGTGGACTCTCCCTTTGCTGAAGCCACTCCGCCCACGCCCTCTGATGTGCCTGCTGTCTCTGCTGCTTTCCCCGAACCACCTCCTTCTCCCTCTTCCACCCCCTTCCCTACTGCTTCCAAGGTGATGAATGTGCGGAAGGAATGAGCGGAAGGAAGGCAGAGAGATAGCACGACTCACGCGGAAAGTGACGGGAGAGGGAGGTCGGTGCCGTCCCAGACAAAGAGCACCACCATCCTATCCTTCTTCACTATGTGCCACACCTGCTCACACACAGCCATGCACACCGGCATTCAGATACCCACGTGCCCTCTCCCTCCCCCACACCCCCCCCTCCTCTCTCTCCCACATGTCCCCTCCCTCCCCTCCCCCTCGCACACACGCATAAACCCCAAAGCAGCAATCCAAAGATGTTCATGCTACCACAGCAAAAGGACCGGCGAAAGGCCAAACCATAAGACAACGAGACATGATTTGTTCAAGTCGATCAGAATCAGGAAGAAACAAACATGAGCAGATATCGACATGACAGCAGAAATAGCCATGACAGTGAGCAACGGACCTGCACGCAGAGGTCAAAGGCAATGTCTGCATCGATGCTGCTGATTGTGAGCAACGGCTCCGGTGCTGTGGGTGGGCCTGGCAGGAGCCATGGAGGGGAATGAATGAAGTGAGGCAGGCAGGAACACAGAGATCAAACGCAATGTCCACATAAATGTTGCTGATGGTTAGCAACGGGTCTGGTGCTGTGGGTGGGCCTGAGAGGAGTCAAGGAGGGGAAGGCAGGGAGGCAGGAACACAAGTGAGCTTCTTCCCAGAGCGAAAGCCATCCTTTTTCGAAGGGAACACTGTGCATTTCAGCCTATGCCCAAATTGATTCCTGCCCCTGAAACCTTACAACTTTCCCCCTTTCCCCCCCTCCCCCAGCTTACGGATGAGGAAGGGGAAGCCGTGCGCCCAGGCCCTGAGCTGCTGCACGAGCTGCTTGTGGCCGTCGGAGAGCGGGAAGAAGGACTTGTGCGAGAAGGAGTAGGGCTGCAGGGACGCGCCTGGCGCCCCTGAGAAGAGCGCGTGGGCGCTGATGCTGCCCAGACCTGTGCGCGCCGTGCCCAGGGGACCTCTGTGGATCACCGTGCTCTGCATAAAACAGCAGGGCAGGGGGAAGGCAGCAAGCAACGTACAGCGCACAGAGAGGACGATTCGTAGTGAAAGAGTTAATGATAAAGAAATTGAAAAAGAGAGAGGGAGGGGAACGTTGATAAAGGAGAGACAAAGGGAGCACGGTACGAGGAAAAGGACAGAAAATCGGAGGTATCTGGCATGAGATCATGGAATCGTACTGACCATCATTCTGTGGATGCGAATTATATCGCCTGCATTGGCGACTTGCGGCAGTTGATCAGCCCGGGGAGCAAAGAGGTTGACGGCGTAGCCAGGGCTGTAGCACGTGGTGTCCGCTAGTAGCAGCGTGCAGAAGAAATCTGCAAAGGGGATGCACGCGCGGATTAGAAAAACACGTGATTCACGGAAACGAATCCGCTTGTGCGAAGTCAGAAGGGAAAGCGCATGCAGAGGAGGGGAGGGGAGGGGAGGGAGGAGAAATCCGAGTGATGAGGCGTTTGCGTGAACAAGATGGAAACGAAATTCAGGAAACTTGGAGAATGAGTACAGTACCAGTCCCCTGGGAGTGCCGAATGTTGTCTGCGAGGACCACCACGCCGAAGACATTGACCTTCTGCCCCGCTGCTGCAGGCACGTCGCTCAACGGCGTGTACACGTACTTGTCCTGCTGCTGTAGTAAGGGAGAGGCGCGTGCGGGTTGAAGGTGCACGCCTTTGAGAGACCGTCTGCGACGATTTATTCTAACGGAGAAGCGAACATCGATGACGGGAAGTGCCACGGAATTAAGAAGCAAACTTGCAATAGGACGGAAAGAAGCGCTAACAGAGACAAGCTGGTCCGAAGGTTCGTGAGTGATTTTCGGTACAAAGTAAATTGACAAGTCCTAGACTAAGTCGACGAAGGAATAAAACTTACAACCATTGGATTGCTGGCGCTCTGAAACTAGTTCGTAAGGCTCAAGTGGTTTTCCTCAAGTCACAGTATCCGATGCATGCAGGACGGCCTATTGCTTCTAGTGTGAGATGCGAACTAATGCAGACGGTAAGGATCACGGAGCGCGGAGCTGGAGGGCGACCAAGTAATTCCAAGGTCAAGGCTGAGGAAGGGGAGGAAGGAAAGAGGAAGAACAGGGAAGCGCGTGTTCGTGACGATTTGCTCTAGGTTTTGCTCGCGAGAGTTGCGACTTCGCGGAGCTGCTCGCCGAATTCGGGTTACACGTCGTGGACCTCGACTGGAAGAATGTTTATCTGGCGCGTGTCAGAGGTTTGAAGATCAGCTTCTGCCACTCTTGAGCGAGAAACGGGGTCACTTGAAATTTTGTTCGCTGCCTTTGATTGGTTCATAAATTCACAGTCTTGACTTTCCAGCAAGGCAAATCCATTTTCTGCCCCGTCCGATCAATTCCTCAGCACAAGCCCCAGCCACAGCACCAAAGTTGTCCGCGCCCATTCCCCTTCGCCCGCGCAATTTCTGTCATTCTGCGCATGTCAGACCTTCTAAACCAATCAGATCTGGGATTGTCGCGCGCATCCCTGGAGCTCTTCAGTACCCCCCCACCTCACCATGCGCCTTCCGCTTGGCCATTCCCCATGCTGATTCCGCATGGCTCATCACCTTTTCTGGGATTTTCATATGCTTACCTCCTGTGCTCGTCAGGCAAGCCCCTCGGTGCTTAGAACCAGCTCTAGTAAGCTCGCGAGGCCGCTGCCGTAGCATAACAATGGCGGCTATTCGCGCGAGCGCGTCCCTGCCGCTGGCGCCGTCTCAGTCTCTTCGCGGAGAGCCCGAGGTTGCACAGGCGACCGTTCAGAGCCCACGACATGATGGCTTGAGGCGTGTGTTACCAGCAACGAGTAACACTGCAGCTTTCCGCAGAGTTGGATGCAGAGTCAATCGAATTTGTAAGGCGGATGTAACTCTAGGTGGCATTCGGTCCAGATTAAGCGGCAACGCGAGTGATAAGGATGGAGTTCAACTAGCGGATTCCGCTATGGCCGCAACTCTGGTAGAGGAGAAGGAATCGACGCGCTTATTAAGAGCGGCAGAAACCGCGCTCGGATTAAGTTCCAGTGTAGAGTCTACAGACGACGACGATGATTACGACGATGAGACGGATATGGAGGACGCGCAGGGCGATGAAAGCGAATCGCAAACGAAATCTCGCCAGCGGTTACCATCCCTGGCGGAAAGATTAGGGGACGATCGTGACGTCAGCAGGTGGTTGGCGGAAGTGGAGGAGGCGGATACCTTGGCGGAGCTGCTGCTGGGGAAGCTGGCAGCGTTGCGCGGGGAGGCGGGCGGAGCGGCGGCACTTGCCGCGGCGGAGGCAGCAGCGGCGGAAGCTGCTTCCGCCGCTGCGGCAAAGGCGGAGGCGGAAGCGGCGGCGGCGGCAGCAGCAGCAGCCGCCGCCGCGGAAGAGAAGAAGGCAGGCGGGGGATGGTTCAGCGGGTTGGGGAGTCTGTTGGGGGGTGAGAAGGAGAAGAAGGCGGAAACGGCGAGGGGAAATGCGGAGAGAGCGCAAGGTCAGCGGAGATCGGCGGAGGCGCAAGGGCAAGGGGGAGCGACAGGTGCTGGCAGAGCGCAGGGCGCGGCGTTGGGCCAACGACCGGGGGTGGGAGGCGCAGGCGCAGGGGCGGGGAATGCGGGGAAGGCGGAGAGATTCACGCGGCGTGACGTGGCATGGCTGATGGAGGGGAGCCTGGCGGCGGGCAACGTGGCACTCAGCTATTCGCTGCTGAATGCGTGCAAGACGTCCGCTTTGGCGCTCAATGCGGGCGCGCCTGGGCAAGGTGCGGCAGTATGTTAGGGGATGGTAGATTAGTACAAGGAGGAAATGACGGTACGATCAGCATACGGAACCGGTTGGGATTGACTGTGGTGCTGAGATTAACACATGTTTCTGCATCCTCATCTCCCCCTCGCTCCCCCCACTATCCCCGTCCCTCGTGGCCCCCTCTCTCTGCCGCCGGCCCTTGCAGCGCGTGCGCGCGTGTGGCCCGCGGTGGGCGTGCGCCTGTACGCGGCGATGGTGAGGGGGCTGGCGGCGCTGCTGCGAGTGGCGGACGCCGTGGCGCTGGTGGGGGAGGTGCAGCGGCGGGGCGTGCCCGAGGGGGACAGAGAGGTGAGCGGAGGAGGGAAGTGGGGAGTGAGGTGGGGGAAGGGGAAAAGGGGAAGGGAAATGCAGTAAGGGGGGAAAAGGGGGGAGCAACAGCTGAGTTGCGGTGGCGCTGGTGAGGGACGTGCAGAGGAGGGGTGTGCGCGATGGGGACAGAGGGGATGTGAAGTGAGTGAGGGAACAGAGCCAGGGAGCGGTAGTGGCTTGTGTGGTGCACTTGAACGTCACAATGGATGAATTGTGTGCTTTCATCCCTTCAATGTATATTCTCAGATGTCGGTGGGCTACCCTATGTGCTGCAAAGCCTTCACTTTCATGCGGTGCATGAGCAAATATATTCAACAGCCACGTCAAGTGGTTTGTGCATTTGCGTCCTTGTGTTCCTGGTGCAGGTGTCCTTTGGAGTGACAGTGGACTGCCCCACGTGCCGCAAGGCCTTTGCTGTGGTGCAGCCGCAGCAAGGCCGGCAGGTGAGCCCATGTGGCTTCTGACAAGAGAGAAATAAATGGAGGGTGTTTCCTAGACAACGTTCCTCCTTGACTCTCTCTGCTGCAACCCCCATGCTTCGTGCCTCCTCCCCGGCCTCCTGCCTAACCCCTGCTGTTTCTACGCCCCTGCTTCTCTTACGGCCCTGCTTTTCCTATGTCCCTGCTTCGACCACACACTTACTCCTGATAACTCATGCTCTTGCTTGTAACACTGCCCATGCCCCTGCCCTGCCCCTCAATCCCCATGTGCTATCGTTCATACGGTCTCAGGTTGTGGGGTGTGCGGGGTGCAAGTATGAGTACGAGCTCGTGTCAGGGGACCTCATCTCCTGCGACTCTGAATCCCTCATGTGAGTGCTTCCTACACGTGTGGATGGTGTATTCTCGCTGTATATGTGTGTAACAGAGTCATGCACGCACGTGCAAGTATGAGTACGAGGTGGTGTCAGGGGACCTCATCTTCTGCGACTCAGAGTCTCTTATGTGAGTGATGCATTATCTGCATTTATTGTTTATCCTAAGATTTACATATGCAAAGCAACGAGCCAAGTTTTACTCGGCTCATCCCTGGGCACACTCGTACGAGTAATGTCACGAGCCGAGTTTTACTCGCCTCGTCCCTGGGCTCACTCGTACGAGTAATGTCACGAGCCGAGTTTTACTCGCCTCGTCCCTGGGCACACTCGTACGAGTAATGTCACGAGCCGAGTTTTACTCGCCTCGTCCCTGGGCACACTCGTACGAGTAATGTCACGAGCCGAGTTTTACTCGCCTCATCCCTGAGCACACTCGTACGAGTAATGTCACGAGCCGAGTTTTACTCGCCTCATCCCTGAGCACACTCGTACGAGTAATGTCACGAGCCGAGTTTAGCTCGGCCGAGCTTTTTCACGGAAAACTCAAGCTCGTGACTCGTCTCTTATCACGAGCTTTTTAAAAGCTCGGACGAGCGCGAGAAAAGCTCGGCTCGTTGCCCTGTGCTGTGCTCTTGACGAGTCCTCCCTCCCTCAGTTCCTCCCTCAGTTCCTCCCTCAGTTCCTCCCTCAGTTCCTCCCTCCCTCAGTACCTCCCTCAGTTCTTCCCTCAGTTCCTCCCTCAGTTCCTTCCCCCCTCAGTTCCTCCCTCCCTCAGTTCCTCCCTCAGTTCCTCCCTCCCTCAGTTCCTCCCTCCCTCAGTTCAACCCTCCCTCAGTTCCTTCCTCCCTCAGTTCCTCCTCCCTCAGTTCCTCCCTCAGTTCCTTCCCCCCTCAGTTCCTCCCTCCCTCAGTTCCTCCCTCCCTCAGTTCCTTCCTCCCTCAGTTCCTCCTCCCTCAGTTCCTCCCTCAGTTCCTCCCTCCCTCAGTTCCTCCCTCCCTCTGTTCCTCCCTCAGTTCCTCCCTCAGTTCCTCCCTCAGTTCCTCCCTCCCTCAGTTCCTCCCT